TCGTGGCTGAAACAACAAAGGTCACGGGGACTGGGGTGCAGTTAGGATCTTTCTACCAATAGCTGTACAGTTACAGCTGCCAGGAATCAGCTCCTGCGCTGCTTAACCTCAAGCAAACCCTGTAACTCTCCTTCGGGCGGTGGGAACTGGCTATGACGTGAGGTTTTGCGCTCTTACTGAAAACGGCAGCGCCCAAGCAGGCCTACACACAGACGGTTTCCAAAATGCGGCCTGTGGGGTCAGCCGCAGTGCGTCCCCCCCGGACGCTGTTCCAATGAGCTGGGAAGCCTCGGTGAGGGGGGGAGCCTTTCAGGAAGATGGAGTTTTACTTTTTGGAGTATGCCTGGGGACAGTCCCCCTACACGGGCCATTCCGGGACAGAGATGCTTGTGCCAGTCCCCGGCGCCTGCTGTCAGAGGAGCCTTCTGAACTCTTGAATTGACCGACTTTTGGGGTTTTAAGCTTGGCTTTTCAAGGGAGCTCAGCCGGCCGAGCTCGTGACGGCACAAACCTCCCAGCCCCGCACGGTTTCGGGGTTACCTCTTGGGGAGACAAATGAGGGAAGAAGGGATGAGGGGCACTGACTCCATCGCCAGTACGGGGGGAATGGGGCGGTTCTTTGTAATTAAGCGTGTTCTTCATGCTCCTGTATTTAGGTGCCAAAATACAGCATTCCCCCACATGTATAAAATTGTGTTTGCATTTATTTAATTTAGAGTTCTTTTTTAAAAGCATGTAGTCTTGAATGTTTGTTCTCCCTTTTTTTTCACATCATTACTCTGATACTGCTTGATTAGCTCCCTCCCCAGTCATGATTGGTAATTAAAATAGGCATTAAAATTAGTCACTTAGCAATTTTGCTGTTCAATTGGCAATTAAATTACTTAATTGCAATTAAAGTCCTAATTTTAATTGGCAAAATGATAGATGTAGATTTAAGATAATATGTATAAATACTTTAATAAGTGTCTATATAAGGATTACTTAATTACTCAACTTCAAGTTTATGCTGTTAACTTTAGAACTTTTAAGTGAGTAATGAAATTTATATTACATCTATTCTAAGGATATGGTAATTAGACGTGTTACTTAGCCCTATAAGGGCCTTTCCACTAAGTTTCTTCTGTGCTGTTGCACCCACCGCCTGGCCGAGCTGTCGTGAGGTGACCCGTGCTGGCCGGGAGGTCACGGCCCCACGGCGGGCGCCCC